TGAGTTGAAGTAATTATAATTTGGACACATTGTAGGCACAAAGCAGAATTTTAAAAGTATTAAATTAACTCCTTTTGGTGTTTACTAGATAAACATTTATTCGATCACATGATTACAGGAACCAAACTTTAAAACAGTGCCTTGACAGTCCAAGTGTCCTCAATATTTCCAAAAGTTTCGATCCGTACTGCACACGCCGTGGATTAAAATTAAATGATCTACGCGAACAAAAAAAGGCTAAGTTATGAACTAAGATATGCGAAAAATGTACTATTGGAAATCTAACACAAAAGGATTACGTAATGCAGAAAAGTCTATTCCAACTCACTAATGAATGCAATTGTCTCCTGATGAAGGTGGCCTGCCATGANATATGCGAAAAATGTACTATTGGAAATCTAACACAAAAGGATTACGTAATGCAGAAAAGTCTATTCCAACTCACTAATGAATGCAATTGTCTCCTGATGAAGGTGGCCTGCCATGACCAGAGGAGCCTTTGAAAACCAAATTTTCAAAGGCTCCTCTGGTCATGGCAGGCCACCTTCATCACTGGAACACAATCAGTCACCTTTTCTTGCAGGCACTCAGACTCCTGTTCAAACTTATCAGACAAGTCACCCTCAGAGTGAGTGGGAAAACATACTTTTTAAAATAATATTACTGCAATTTTCTGTTGCAAGCCCTGTATCATAGAATCAGCAGAATGCAGTCATTTACCTTCTGCTGTGGCCAGTCAGATTCATTAAAGGGACGATTATCAGAGAGAGAACATTCAGAATGAGTTGGAGTAAAAAAAATTGTATACAATAGTGCAACATTCCATAACAAACAATAGTTGTTTGCATCATTATTGCAGTTACTCGACCTGAAAGGCCATGCACTTTTTTGAAATCAATAAATTACAAATTCTTTAGCACATTTTAGGCACAGAGCAGAATTTTCAAAGTATTAATTAATAACTCCTTTGGCTTTCAAAGGCTTCTCTGGTTACGACAGGCCACCTTCATTACTGGAACACAAGACAGGCCCTCAGACTCCAGTTCAAACATGTAAGACAAGTCACCCTCAGAGTGAGTGGGAAAAGTTATTTCTTAGTCTCAATAATAGTAAAAGTAATATGAGTACAACTCTCCAAGAAGTTGACGATCTTCACTGATAGAAGATTGTCATGCTAACAAATCCTTAAATTAAGTATGTTTAGGTTATGCCATTGTCTGTATGTTATCGGAGGTAACAGTCAAAACCAATGATCAAACAGACAATGTGAAATCAACTTTTTAAACTTGGATTAGCTTTAGTAGCATTGCTAAAATCTGACTTTTGAAAAATGGG